AAAAAAAAGGGCTATTGCTAAACACAAATTATTTACAAAACATGAATCCACCTTATTCCTGAGGGTTTTCATGGGGAACCGATTGAGCAACTGCCGGGAAGAGACTTCTGTTATGATCATAAGCCACCACTGCATTGAAAAATATCTTGCACGGCTTGGGAACTTGTTGCACTGTTGCCGGTTGGACAAACAAGCAGAAGTTGAATCTGTGACTACAAGAGCCATGTTTTGAACTGATTTCAGTTTTATGACAGTGAGCTGCGTGAAGCCTGTTGACATTCTATGTGGAAGACCCTTTTGACTTCAAGCCATATTGACTAACCTCAGTTATACCGTATTGGCCCGAATATAAGATGGCCCTGATTATAAGACGACCACCTCTTTTTCAAGATTCAAGTTTGAAAAAAGACTTTTTGACACCAAATTAATTTTTATACAGAAAATAATTACAGTACATCTGAAACAAATGATTATCACAATATATTTGAGAGAAAAAGCATGTTGTTTTGCCTCATTCAAATCTTAATATCTGAAGATTTAAATATGTAAACTAAAGTGCAATCACATTCGTAACTGAATGGCTTCTGGTTTTTGAAAAGTAAATTACATCATAACTTCTCCTCAGCTGCCGGTTAACCTGGCCGATCTTTGACCCACTTTTCTCCAGATCGTCACTACATTTCTCCATTTTCTGTTATCTCTTCTATTATTGTCTTCTTTTCTTTCTTAACGCTATTTTTTATTTTTCTTCTTCGTGCTACCGCTATTTTTATTTTTATTCTTCGTGACGGGTTCGCTTTGGCCTGGGGAGTCAAGTTCAGCATTCGCTTCAATGGTATCTGGCGCCATCTAGTGCCGTGAATGGGTATAATGTCTAGACCCCGAATATAAGACGACCCACACTTTTTCAGTCTTATTTCAATGCAAAAAAAACACCTTCTTATATTCGGGTCAATATGGTAATTCAAGGCTAAAGAGTGCTTGGGCCCACTTTCATACAAACTCAAAAACGGTACACTTCACCTTTTTCTCGCCAGCTTCGAAGAGGCGGCCCACTGTCTAAATCCAATTGGTGCACATGCACCAGCAGGCAACAAACGTGTCAACCAACTACTGCTGACATGAGTTTTCTTCTTCTCATTTATTTATCCATGACATCTACCACTTTGCCATGTTCGAAATATACAGAAGATTATAAATAGCACAAAGAGTGCGACACACTCCGTATTAAATGGATACAAGCCCGCTTATCGAGTTGCCATTTGGCAACTGCTGACTTGCCGCTACAGTTTGAAGAGCGATCCAAGCTGGGTCTGGGGGGGACCTGGACCTTTACAGTTTGGGGATCTCAACAACGTCACTGTTTATATATAAGTATAAAATGCTGCTGGCATTTATACCCTGTCACTTTGTCCAAATATAAAAGAAAAAAACGGACCCAATAAGAAATGCAACTCAAGTTAAAGCTAAAAGTCTGCAATTCAAATGCAGATCTTGGATGCTTTATTTAAGCTCCATAATGGTCAAGGTAAAACAATAAAACCACCGTCGTCGTTATCCAAATACTTTTGTAGCTGTTTTTAATGTTGATAAGATGCAGCGCTGTCAATTAGTGGGGGGCATTAATTTTCATGAGGTAGACTATCAGGGTCTCCACAAAAGACGGTACAAAGTTAAGCTATTACATTTAGTTGGCCTTGTTGACAACAAGTTTTTCAAATAAAACACACTAAGCTGCGACAAAAACGACTCGACCTCCATAACTCCAAGAGTGGCAAGTTTGGTTGTGGAACCAGTTGGAGATGGACAGAAAGTGGCTAAAAATCTGATGGTTTGGCTTCACAGATGAATGTAACCGAGTTGTTGAGCAGATCGTACATGTTGACCTCCACCACCTCGGCTGGGGGATCGCCTTCCCCTTGTCCTGCCAGAGTCACAAACACTTGCTGGCTCACAGACGGCTGCGACTGTTCCTCAGAGTCGGCCGACTCCATCGCCTCCCCCTCTGGCTGATGCACTGTGATCACCTGATTGGGAACAAAATGACAGAAGCCAGCTTTATTTTGGCAAGTTCAGGTTAAGTTTTGCAACAAACATTTCAGGGAGTTCCAAAAGTCCCCAAAATACTTCCCGTCTCCATTTTCAACAAAAAGTATGGATGTGTGATTTACTGAAGTGCAGCTAGATGTGTAAATAATTGAAAAAAAAAAAAAGTAAAGTCTCCACTGTACTGGTTCAATAGAATTCCATTGAAATGTTGAAAACACGTTTTTCCCTGGGGGTTCAGCCAAATATTTCAACAAAGCACTTTCGAGGTTATGTTTTGTAAAAACATCCCTTTGCTATTTTGGCAAATTTTCCATGTCCAAAAGTATGCCTACCCATATACTGGTCTTTGTTTTTTTTTGTTTTTTTGTTATTTTTTTTTTTGTAATCAGATGTCTAAATATGCCCGTTTTTTTCTCTTGCATATCAGGTTTTATAATAAGGATAATAAAATAAAAAATAATAGTAATATGAGGTAAGGCCTTGAATCATATTTATGAATGAAGGGTGAGGTTCAGCAACAGGTGGAATTCTTTTCGAGTTCTTTTCTTTCTTTTGAGAAATAGTGCATGGTAAAATTCATGTGGCGCAAGCTTTTAAAGATCAAACAAAGAAAAAAAAATATTTAATGATCTCAAAAACGTGATGTGATTGCGTGATATCCAACTGAGCTTTTAATGTGTGTGCGCTGGAGGCCTCCTCGCTAGCCTCCTCCTGCGTCTGCTGGGCTTCCATGTGGCATGAGAGGAGGTGCTCCTGCAACTCCGTCTGGGAGGTACTGATCAGGGCGCACAAGGGGCAGATGAACCGGTTAGCGCTCGTTGCGTGCTGACTGCAGATGTGCTCCTGCAGCTCTGCAGACCCACTGAACACAACTTGACAGTGCGCACAGTGCAGGGTGGATGCTGCAGAATCTGTGAAGGAGGGAAGGACAAAGAGAGAGAGAGAGAGAGAGAGAGAGAGAGAGAGAGAGAGCGCCAAAAGAAAACGAGTAAGTACAACAAATGTAAGCTGTTTTTAAGGGGGAAAAAAAGAAATCACCTGATTCCAAGTCAAGAAGGCAAGTGCTTGTAAATTTGTTGTTCTGCTAACGGAGTAAAACGACAACAGAGATGCTTTTACCGTATTTTCTGCACAATAAGTTGCCTCGAATTATAAGGCACACCTTCAATGAATGGTCTATTTTAAAATTGTTTTCATATATAGGGCACACTGCATTATAAGACATTAGAAGAGAAGCTACAATAGTGGCTGAGGTTATGCATCCACTCGATAGAGCTGTGCTAAAAGGGAATACAATACGATACAGCAGCCTTCCTCAACTGGCGGACCGCGATCCACGACCGGACCGCCGACCTCCTCTGTCCGGACCCTCGGCAAATTGTATAAAATAATAATTTATAGAGTGATTTTTACGTTATACATTTTGTATTTGCACACAGACAATTAGACAAGACGAATCGCGGGAGGTTTCGATTGTGTGCAGTTTTGCTCCCGTCTACCCGGGGATCTTTGCAGCTGTTTAACAGCAGAACACCACAACATGGTAAATAAACAGAACAATGGCGTCCTCAAATAATATTTGCATGCCTCAGACATTGCATTCACTTTTAGTGGAAGAACAGCACTGCACATTCCTGTGCTCCCTTGTGTCAGTATTTAAAATGGTTCTTAACTCCTCTTCTGATATGTTTCAGTGATTTCAGAGGGGATGTGAAAAGGGGAATTGTACAAATGAAAAGGATATTTTTGTTTTCATGGTTAGTATTTATTTTGGTAAAATGAGCATTTTGTTTTGTTTTTGTTAAATTAAGGGAAAAAAGACAACTACTGTTTAACAAAGTTAAAGTAAAAATGTCTTATTTCCCTAAAAGGGCTATTTCTATTATTAATTAAGCAGGCACAACTTAACAAAATAAGAGTTCCTGTGCCTCAACACAATACCTCTCATTATTTGCTGTGTACTGGCAAAGTGAATAATTATTTTCATGCACCCCATTATTGGTTGGTTGTGAGGAGTGTTGATTTGTATAAGCTTGGCTTGACCATACTAAATGGGCATATAGCCCTGCTCCCCATCACCGCTGTGCATGGGACCGGACCTTGGTCTTATTAAAAATAAATAAATAAATAAAAAGTGGACCGACAGCATTTCTAGTTGAGGACCACTGCGATACAGCTTTATTTATATAGCACTTTCACAACCACCGTAGCTGAAACAAAGCGCTTGCAGAAAATGTAAAATACTACGTCCAAGAAATCAGAATTTGATCCATATAAGAGGTGCATCGGATTATTAGGCGCACTGTTGGCTTTGCATGTGTCTAGGTGCGCCTTATAGTACGGAAAATACAGTACTTTTCTCTTGATGCTCATGATGTCTTTAAAAAAAAAAAGATTCTGTTTGAAGAAATAGTCATAATGTTCCATTCCAATCCATTGAGTGGCAGCAGCACCTTAAAATCTGTCTAAGAATGGAAATATGACCAACAAAGATTAAAAAAAAAAGTTTCCATCCTTGTAATTGGAATTTTGGATTCATCTTATGTTGTATTTCATGACATTACGCCACTGTTCTTCACATGGCTGCTCGATCGTGGCATGGATGAACATTTTGCCAAGGAAAAATGTACACATTTTATCAAGGAATACATTCATCACCTTCATGTTCAGCTTTTTGGTGTTTGGCCAGACTGGAGGCACAAGGGAAGAACCTGAAGCAGATGTCACACTGCACCAGGGTCTTCAGTTGCTGCGTTTGGTTCGCAAACACCTCAGGGTGGTTGGTCCTGTTATGGTACCACAGGCCCGACAGTTGCTGCGGCAACGCAGAGGGAACAGTTCCAATACAGAGCCCCAAATCTTCAGCAGTCACAAAACAATGAAGCATGCACACACGTTCCCTCGGTCAAACGAGAAGGCGGCCGTCCTACCTGGTAAGATTTATTGCAGAGGTTGCAGACGTAGGGCTTGACCCCAGTGTGGATGGACTTGTGTTTCTCCAGCAATGCGGCACTGGTGAAAACTTTGCGGCATGTGTGACACTTGTGCATCAGCTTCACATGGAGCTCCTCAATGTGCTTCTGATGCTCCTCTAAAGTCTGGAAGCTGAGGCAACACTTCTGACAGTTGAGGGGCTGCGACATGTCTGGCAGGAGGCAGGAGAAAACACTCGTCGTGCACTCTGGTCATGCTAATTTCGGTCACGACATCAGGACTCGATTTGTACACATTACAGGCAGTTAAATGCAAGATTTTTGAATGCCATTTGAATTTAGGGCTGCTACAGATTTTTGTGACTCGGTGATCCCATCCATCAATTACCCGGGGAGTTAAACAATGACTCTCAATGATGAAATAAATTATCAAAATAGCTAATTTGATGATTGATTAGTTGTCAAATCATGAATTAATTTTGACATCATCACTGTTTTGTTGGTTCTGTTGTCATGACTGTGCAACTGTTACAAGAGCACATCTGCTTCACAGTGCAAAGGTGCAGGGTTCAATTCTGGCTCCAGTCTTCCTGTGTGGGGTTTGCATGTTCTCCCCGTGCCTGCGTGGCTTTTCTCCGGGTGCTCCGGTTTCCTCCCACATTCCAAAAACATCCATGGCAGGCTGATTGAACACTCCAAATTGTCCCTAGGTGTGAATGTGAGCACGAATGGTTGTTCGTTTCTGCGATTGGCTGGCAACCGGTTCTAAGTGTACCCTGCCTGCTGCCCGAAGACAGTTGGGATAGAATTTTAAAGGAGTCGCAGGAGCCCTACAGGAGAAACTGGGTTTTTGCTCTCGAACAGTGGTTCGAGAGCAAAATTCACATTCACCGAACCCTTCATTAGGGAAAAACAAAAATGTCTTTTTACAAATTCAAGACATAAAAAACAGATTTATTAAAAACAGAAATAAAGTAAATAAAATTTCAAGACTTAAGTGTACGTTTTTTTTTTTTTTTTTTTTACAGTCACACGTTGACTACTGAGCGAACTAAATTTCCCGGTTCGGATGTAGGTTTCCCGCAAACGGTGGCCGTCCTTCACCATCAGTCCTTGCTCCAGGAAACCTTGAGAAATACAAAGAAATGGATTGCAGTAGAAAACAAGTTCCCCAAAAAGGATGACAATTATGATAGCCATTGATCCTTTGAGAGTTGGTAGACAATCAATTTGTTTGGGATTCCCGTAGCAATAAGTTCAAATAGAAACAAATCCAATGGTCGCAAAAGCCTGTTTTGCACCCTAACTGTCTAGTGCAGTGGTTCTTAACCTTGTTAGAGGTACCGAACCCAGCCAGTTCATATGCACATTCACCGGACCCTTCCTTAGCGAAAAACAAAAGTATGACTTTTTACAAATTCAAGATATAAAAACGCATTTATTAAAACCAGAAGAAAGCAAATAAAATTACATGGCATCAGTGTAGTTTTTTTCAATTTTACGACGTACTATCATTACAGTCACGCTTGACTACTGAGAGAACAAAATTTCCCGCAGCACTGATTGGACAAGCAATGTAATGTGATCATCTGCAGCCAGTGATGGCCAAGCAGGCGTGTCATAACTAATTGACATGTTGAGTCGGGTGTGTTTTAACCTCAATGGCAGAGGCTCCGTCGAGCCTTGAGAGCGATTCACCGAACCCCTGGGGTTCGATCCCAGGTTAAGAACCACTGGTCTCGAGTATTTAACAGTACAATCCATCCACTTTTCTATACCACTTATCCTCATAAGGGTTGCAGCTGAGCTGGAGCCTATTACAGCAGACAACCGGTCATCAGCAAATTGCAGGGCACATGCCGGCAGACATGGGCAACACTTATGGACAATTTAGAGCAGGGGTGTCAAAGTCAAATGGACGGAGGGCCAGATAAAAATTTTTGCT